GGAAATGACCAGCTTTGCTCCGCCCGGTATCGCGCGTATCACATGACCTAAGGTTCCGCGGGCTCTCCAGATTGTGTCACACATAGTCCTGTAAACACTGAGCATTTCTCCTGAATTCTGATAATTTAGCGGTGAATAGGGTTATGCTGTTAGCCTCAAAATTAGAATGAAACATGCTCACTTATAATAATTGGGCTTCTACACTTATCTTTCTTACTCATCTCTTATCTTTCGCAGTTCAAAATTCCTAAGGTTTAGCGGTCATTGAATGAATTCTGGTCTCCTTGGTATTCGATCAAGAATAAAATGCACCACTCGGAATCTGCTCAAGCTAAGTTGGTTATAACGATGGAATGTCCACGTCCCACCCCTATAACACTTGTGTATAAGAACACACTACTGTTGATTGATTTGTTGATACTACGGTTGATTGATTAGATTGATTTGTTTAGTTCGTTACTCGGAGTCTCGAAGTGATCTTACGCACAAGGACACCAATTTGTTCGATTTCACATTCACTCAAATTCAGTTAGAACCGTTAACCATGCAGTCCTCCTTTTTAACGTCTTACTGCCACGGTTAGCCCGTTATTTCCAGGGAATTACTTTTTATCATGCGTGCCTTATTCTTTTTAATAAATACAGCATGCTGCAAAAAACTGGTGCAAATCTTGTTTTATTGCGCGGCACATTAATGTTCTTGTTGCAACTCGTTCTGGCTGGCGACCTAGATTGAGGGTTATAAAGCCGAACATATCTTTGTCACTCAGCATCCGGTAATGTCGCTTCCAGCGCGACTATTCCTCCTTGTTCTTAGCCTGCCTCTCTGCTTTGCATCACAAATTTCCAGAGGATCGTGAGTTTTTATAGGAGAGAATAACAATAATCTAACAGTTCATGAAGTGTTTGAGAACTTTCCACGTGTAGCGGATACAGCTGACACTTATCCTCGGAACCTGTATTCAGATACGGCAGTGCTGGTGAGCATGCCGGTTATGGACACGATGAAGCGCACCACCACGGTGGATACTATGACACTGCACACCATGCTCATGGCCACGAAAGCGACGGATTTTCTGAAGGAGATAAAATGTCCAAGGCTATGAAGTATGCTAGCGGCGGTGATTCGGGTGATCACAGTTCAGGTGCTCACCATGAAAACGATGCAAGCAAATACGCTGGATCTTCTAGTGATTATGGAAGAGGTAAAATTCTTCACGATGTGCTTTTTTCACATTTCAATCTTTTGAGCGATATTTTACCGAGATAGAATGTTTGTCTATACCTTTTTGGTAACATTTTTCTCAGACACAAAAACGAAGTCATATGGCTTCTTCGACTACAAGTACGTGCAGCCACAGTATCCACGTCGAGAAGTTTCACTCGGACGAAAAACACGCAAAAAAATATGGATCCGATTCTCACGCATCTGGTGCGCAAGAGCATTCCGATGGTGATCACTACAGTAAAGGGCATGATGCCTATCACGATAGCCATGGGGCACATGGGGCGCACCACGGAACTTTCAGTCATGGAGAAGGTGGCCACGGATTCAGCAAAAAAGGTCATCAGTCTGGATACGGTATGTTGTGCTTCATAGGAATAATATAGGTCCATTCGTTTTTCTTTGTTATTTGTTAATTACTTACCCATTCCTGATCTCCTTACCTACAACAACATTTCTTGATAAACAGAACAGCTAACAACTCACGGGCCGCTTCGTAAAGTGAAAATAGAGCAGTATTGACCGTGGCGAAACTCGGCAGATAACTTTTTTCCAGTAGATGAACGTGATCCGTCGACGTTTGTTCCCAAATTGAGAACCTCTACGCATTACTTACTCTTTCAAATGCACGCTTTAACCCATTGCGGACCGCGTGCTGCACCATGTGCAGCACGCCACCACGCGGAGAAGGATAGTAATCTTCGATTTTTTCAGCATTTTGCTAAGTTACAAAATCAACAGTTTACTTTTTCAGACACAGGATATATCAATATTTGCGTACTGGTTAAATTTTCGATAGATTATTGGCCACTGATAAAGAGATGACAAAAACCTACGGAGGTGCAATTATAACGGCGGTCCGCAATGGGTTAATCTTTAGGCTAAGGTAGGGGATACCCAAAGCCCTTGTAGGATTAGCCAAACAATTGTTGCATTGTTTCCAATTTTCCCTGTGCGTAACTTCACTTTCACTTCTTTTACTGACTAACAACGAAAAGATCTTAAGTCGCCATGAGTCAGGAATAGATTTACGTCTAGCTCTAGATGTGTCCTCGAACGCTCTCATACTCAGATCTCCAAAATATGCTGACTCTCTGAACAGAGCTATATGCTAGCTGATAATTCAACGGTTGTGGTCCGAGCATTCCGTGGTAACCTGGTGTCCTCCAGAGGACGTTTTTACAAAGGGCTGCGTGCTACCTTCAAAAGGTCACATACAAACTGCCAGGCTGCATGGGTCAAAGCAGGGTTTTGAAAAGGAAAAGGGAAGCACTGCATTGATTCGTCAATGGTGTAGCATCCCGTTGGTTGGATCGGTAACGGGATCAATTCTACAAGATGCCTAAGGGTTTGCAATCTTTGTGAGCTATTCCCTTTATTCTACAGCCCTTTACGGTCGGTGAAAAGGGCTCCTTACAAGGAAAGGATGGTAGGTCTAAGTGGCCTTATAAAATGAGACGTACGACACCTGATGCGTCTCGAGACGCTGATGCAAAGTCTGCACTTCCAAATCTGCTTAAATGGACTCTCCGAATGGATGTTGTGTAGCAGTAAGTAGCTTCAGGGGTCTGATGGTGGCGAGGTGGCAGGCTAAAAGCTCGCGAAGGATCGGCTTACTGGGGTGCATGTTTGTTGCTTTGGCTTTCTGGGTCAACGCAACAACGTTCGTAACAGACACAAGAAGCAAACCAATTTTGGCAAAGCGAACCGATCCTTCAAGCTTTTTCACTGCACCCCAGCAATACAGCTGAGCAGGTATTTACGCTATCATAAGTTCCGTTCGGAAGAGACAGTTTAGCAGATATGGACAGCAGATTTGGAATCAGCGTCATGAGACGCGTCAGGTAGCATACATCCCATTTTATACGGCCACTTCGACCTACCAACCTTCCCTTGTTAGTAAAACCCGTGTGTGACGCGAGTTTTGCAGGCAACGTGGTGATGCTCACCACTTACCCATGGCAAATTGCCAATGGCTCAATGGGAACGTTCCACGCTGCCGCTGGCAAGGTTGCTGGATCAACACCGCTTGAAGTCTAAGATTTGCAAACAACATCCGTTGCTTACCTGCCGTCAAGATCTCTTCCGATCGATTGATTCCTGGTGAACTGGCGAAAACCCACCCGGCTATGAGTTCTGTCATCCACAGTTCAACTCGGAGAGGTTTGCAAATTTAGCAGGTTGTGTGGCGAGGCTGCTGGTTTTGAAAAGGCTCATGTCCATGTTTCTTGCTCCTCGTAATAGGGGAAAATCACCACGTTTGATTGCTAGTTTAGAGTGCTCTACTACCGTTCCAATCTTTTCAAAAATTTTGCCTATTTGAGCAAGGGAACAAACTCGCTAAGCAGCCAATTACGAGCTTTTAGTGAGCTCGGACCACTACCGCAAAGCTGTTCGGCCTCATACGTTTGTTTAGAGAATCGTTTAGCAAAGTTGGAAGGGAGATTTCAGATCAGTGTTCAAAGGCACATACCGATGAACATCCTTTCTTGGATATCAGAGATCTGGGATTATCTCCTTGTGAAGGTGACACAGAGTAATTCCTATATTTCAGGGGGCGAAAAAGGTGGCCATTATGATTATGGTCATAATGGACACGGTGACGAATACAGCCAATACTATCATGCTCCTCATCATGACAAAGATTCGTACGAACACGATGCCTATAACGGGCATGGGAGGCATGAGGATTATGGCAATGAGCACCATGATCGTCCACCCTTATTATGGATATGAATATAGTCCTTACTATTGATCTTTGAATTTATAGCGTCTTTCGTTCTGTGCAGTGGTAAATTTGCTTGTTTCGATTCCCAGAGATCGTCTTATTATTGAAAATAAAACTATAACGCACACAACGCTCAAAATTTTCAAGTTTTGCGAGAAACCGAAGAAATTCAAAGTATTGAGGTCCCTATGTGGGCAGACAAAGGTATAGCGTTGAAGCTGTTGATCTATCTGATACAGAGTGCCTATGGATGTCTTCATCACGTGGAGGACGAAGTGTTGATTGAACGCTAGTGTAGATACTGGTTCTGATGAGAAACCAGAGATGATGAGAAAAGAAAAAAGGGAACACTTCATGGAAATTCAAAAAGGTCGAGCACAGTCTCTGAAAGGCACAAAGTACCTACTCCTCTGGTGTTCATTTTCTTGTTTAACCATCTGCGCTAATCACACACTTCCGACTACTGACCTATTACAATATTCACGAAACGTATGCCTATCCTGCTCAAAAAAATCCTCACATAGAATAACAGCTTCCTCCTGCAACCTTTGTGACCTTCAACAAATCTCCTCACCTTAAAATTGAGGTAACGCTCTACTCTACATTTGACGATTAATTTTGAAGCTGATTCCTCAGAATTTCTGAAGCTCCTAATTCAGATTTTCTGCGAAAACAAAAAAGGAACAGAAACCCAGAAAAAAGAAACTTCTTTGATGATTAGTGGATTGGTGATGCGAGCAAAAACAAACCCATGCTATACACACACCGATACGGAAGAAGATCGATGGATTGGAGCAAAGAGGGTCCTACAGACCTTGGCTTCTTACTCGTGGATGCTTCAATTTTGGAGTGCACCTCTCTAATGGTGCGGATGATAATAGGCTAGCAAGTTTGCACTGCCAGTTTGTTCGCCTGTCAGCTGCCAGAACATCCTCCTTCCTTTCGTCTTCCGATTTCAATTCTGAGTTCAGCACTTCCTGGAGATAATGCATATGAACAAAAAGGGTGAGTTAAATTACAAAAGGGATCTTATTGCATCACGTTGAAGTAAGCATGGACACTGTTTTGGGCGACTTGCGTACAATCGCGACATTTTTTTGAAATGACACGTGGGGACGATCGGGACGAAACTTCGTTGCCGGCTGCTTTTCTCTTCACTCTCTTT